GTTTACTGCAGCACATATCAATCATTTTTTTAAAGTACTTCAACAGAAGGGATGGTTTTAAGTAACGATTATGACCAATCTTGTCATTTACTGTTGGTATTGGTATGCTTTTTCCAGGTTTTACCATCATAAAACAGCGGTCGGCAATAGGAGATGGTATTTTCTAATTGTATTTAGTAATTTGAAAAACTCATGTTAAAGAATAACAACAAAATAAAAATAGACAAATCATTTATGGATTTGTTGTATTGTAGTTTTGTAACCTCAATAATTTCTCCCACGTCCCAGACCAGCATGATATCCAACTTTATGTCATAATTTACTCTGAAAGTGAAATTCAAATCTAAATCTTGTCCGAAAAATTCCGAAGTTACGAAAATTTTATTTTTTTTTAGTTGTTTAACAATGTCTCCTATAATGCTCTGAGTGTTTTGTCTGGCTTCTTTCAGTCGATCATGTGGAATGACGTACTTAGTTGCAAAATTCTCTATCTCAGTTATAAAGTGCGAACTTCCATGCCAGATTTTGAAGACTGAAATTTTAATCATTATATTTATAGATAATCACATGTACAGTTACAAAACAGAAGATGACAAAATTTATTCTTTTAAAAAAATCCACCAAAATCCACCAAAAAATTTTTTTCAAGCGATGTTACCTGACTAAGACTACTTACTGTTTATGGAATCTACCATATTATCATCCTCCTTAGTTGAATATCGTTGTTGATTGGGTGTCGCATCATTCAATATGTTTGAGTTGTGATAATTTTTAAGATTGGTTGCTAATTTTTGCAACAAGTCTTTCAATTCTGAACTAAAATATTCCTTCAGCGAAGAATCATTATCAGCAAAATTTTGTAATACTTTCGAAAATTTTGTTTTTATATTATAAAACGCCATTTCAAACAAAATTGGGTGTTTTTTTATAATTTTTTGGAAATTTGAAGAATGTGGCTTGTATTTCGAAGGGTCATTGTCAACTATTTTCCAACAAAATTTTAGATTTCTAATTGGGATGAAGTATCTTTGACGTCGGAGTTTTAAAGCGAGATTAATTTTTACTGAGAATTCCACATGTGTTTCTTTCTTTGAAAGTGAATTGTTTAATTATTTATGAAATTTTGAAAATAAATTGATGTTATAAAAAATGAACCACCATTTTGACAGTCATATAAAAGGCTGGATCTTTAGATATATTTGTTTTTATACTGGAGTTGTTTCGTTCAAAGATAACAACACAACCTTCAATCTTTTCCATAAAATTTTTTGCAAGGGCTGATGCAGATAGATAACGACCTTCATCATTTTTGACAGTTTGATTGTCTGTAGTCGATTCTTCCTATTGATATATTACAGGATTATGTTGATTGAATTGAATATTAGATCCATTTTAATAATAAAACTATTTTCTTTTAATTCAAAGTAATGAAAACAAAAGTTGAACCTAACTTGATTATTACTTTTAACCAAAAATTGAGATAAATATCTATAATTATCCTCAAACATACAAGTATATTCATCCGTCTCCATGAGTTCACTTTCATCTTTCATCACCAAGGTAGTGCCATTAAACACTTGGATGGGCTATGCGTAACAAACAAAATTGCTTCAGTTTGAAATCATTTTTTGTTTATGTATTTATAATATAACAATTTTTATATACAATTATATTTATCAAATTTATAAAAATTATGTATTTATATTTGTAATTATAAATAGTTAATTTATATAAAGTTGATGAATTGTTAAATATTGTTAAAGCTTTTAACTCGGCTGCTCGTCTACTTGCCCGTGCTCTTAAAAACAATGTGACAATAACTTATTTAAAGACATAAACAACGCGATATTCAACATTGATAATGGAAATATTAATTAAAGACGTAAAAAATCAAATAATATCAAATAAAATATAAAAAAATGCACATATAATTAACTGGGCAAACAAACAATATATAAAAACATATTTATTTTGTTACAATGATTGAATTGAATATATTTTTTCTGGCAAAAAGCACAGCAAAATACCAATGTATGTGTTGATGACA